AGGAGAAGGAGGAGGAGGAGGAGGAGGAGGAGGAGGAGGAGGAGGAGGAGGAGGAGGAGGAGGAGGAGGAGGAGGGTAGACTTCTGTGAGTTCGAGGTCACGCTGGTCTACACCAAGTTCCAGGCCAGTAAGGTTCAACACAGGGAGACTTCTCTCAAGCAAAACAAAACAAAAAACACCCTCGCCTTCGTTTCTCAAGTCAAGATAGTGTCACGCTAGAAAGCACTCCCACCCTACATGAAGTTAAAGGAACTATTTCTCATCAGAAGTTCCACCAAGATGGCAGTTATGGTCACCAGCTAAGCCCTGCTGCTGCTCAGGACTTCAGATTCAAGGCCACCCACACACCAAGTCGCCCCTAATAGTCAGCAGCCTGCACCTTGAGCCACAGCTAGTCCTCATCTCCCATCAGCAAACCCTCTCCTCACCTCAGGCTTCTAAATCTTCCTCACCCCATCTTGCTCAGCTCACCCTCTCTCGTGTCCTCCACTTCTCCTTTTGCCAAATACCCTCAAATCGTCTCTTCACACCCTGTATCTTCCTTGATCTCTTCACCTAATGACTCCCAAATCCTTCCGCTCCTGTCTCCACTTCTCACGACCCCCATTCTCCTCACACCCCCATTTCTCTTCCCGTCGCCTGCCCATTTCTCCTCACCTCATTCCACCTCAGAGCCACTTCTCTCACCCCCGTTTCTCCTCACACTTATCTCTCCTCACCCCCATGTCTCCTCACTCATTTCTCCTCACACTCACTTTTCCTTACTCCGCTTCTCCTCACCCCCATTTCCCCGCGCCTCCCGCCGGGCGTCCCCCGCACAGCCAGCGGGGCGCAGTCCGCTCGCCTTTCCTAGCGAGCGCGGCTGGGACACTCACGCGAAGAAGGGGTCGTCCTCAAAGCTGCTGCTCAGCATCCGGAACATCGTGTTTCTGCGGCGGGCGGCGGGCGCGGGTGGAAATAGAAGGCGCAGCTCGCCGCGCCGCCACCAGCCTGCTTCCCGCTAGCTTCGCGCGTCTGCCCGCGGCAATAGCCGCGCCCGCGACTAGGGCGGGGCTTGACGCAGGGACGCTTGCCCATTGGCCATGACTTTGTGACGTCACTAAGGTGAGGCAGGAGATGTGTGTGTGGGGGGGGGGGGAGAACATTGCGCGGCTGCTATGGCAACCGCGGTAAACACACCGGAGGCAAGCCGTTTGTCTGGAGGCCTCTTTCAGTGAGGCTCCTGAGAGACGACTTCGTCTTAGAGCTACGGGAACCAAAACTTTAGACCAGTTCTGAATAACCTTGGCCAAATTGCCCTTAATCTCGACAATTCTCTGGTAGCTGGTCAAATAATGAAAAAAAGGTTTTGAGAACAATTAACGAGCGCTGTATTCACTTCTTAAAGGAAACAAGATTCAGCCTATGAGATTTTTTTCTTTTTCTTTTTCTTTTTCTGGTTTTTTTTTTTTTCCAGACAGGGTTTCGCTGTGTAGCCCTGGCTGTCCTGGAGCTCACTCTGTAGACCAGGCTGGCCTCGAACTCAGAAATCCGCCTGTCTCTGCTTCCCAAGTGATGGGATTAAAGGCGTACGCCACCACTGCCTGGCTAGCCTATGAGATTTCTTTCTTTCTTTTTTTCTTTTTTTTTTTGATTTGGTTTGGTTTTTCAAGACACGGTTTCTCTGTGTAGCCCTGGCTGTCCTGGAACTCACTCTGTAGAACAGGCTGGCCTCGAACTCCGAAATCCGCCTTCCTCTGCCTCCCAAGTGCTGGGATTAAAGGCGTGAGCCTCCACCGCCCGGCGCCTATGAGATTTCAAACACCAAAGAAATACAGTTTCTGGTAACTCTAAAACTCGAAACAGTGTCTCCCAATACACAAATAACATCTATGCATAGGATCAAATACACAAAAGAAAAAGGAAAAAAAAGCAAAATGAAATTGCTCCATTTCAAGGATCAGGTCAAATCTTTATCATCTTCCCAACATTCTTAAGCAGAATTTGGGCACAAGATTTGAAGGAAGCAGCCATATCTAGCTACAATTCTATTTCTATTATTTCCATTGCAGAATTAAAGAACCTTCTATTTCTAGTAAGGAAACTGATTTTCATCTTAAAGCAGTGCAGTACCTTAATGATAAGCCCAAACATTTTAAGTGATCTTCAAGAAATAGTATCAGTAAGATTGGGGTGTGGTGTGGTGGGGAAGGGGGCAACATGAAAGATTTTATTCAATTATTGGGGTTTGAAAAGTACTTTATAGGCCCTTCCAAGAGCTGGAGACAGAGCAGTGAGAAGGAGAAAAAGAAGGAAAATGACAAGGAAGGAAAAAGAAGCATCTTTCACACACACTTTCAATTCACTTGTCCCCACATCCCTTGGGGAGGTGGAGGGGTGTCCATGGCTCCTTGGGACCCCATGGGAGACATATGGCATGCTGCCACTGGGAAGAAGTGACCAGGACCTGATTTGGAAGTGACAGAAGTACTCAGGGTTATTTTTAGGAGCTGGAAATGTAATCCTCTGACCCCACCCCCACCCCCACCCCCATTTCACCAGGTTTCTCTGGTAGTCCTGTTCCCCTGGGAGGATTGACTTGAGGGAGGGCCAACTTCACAATCTAAAATGACACGGCCCTTCCAGGAAATAAATAGGCTATTTTAATCTTCCTCTGGCCTCAGCCTAACGCTCAGAGAGCATGCATGGGTCAGAGGACTTGTAAACTAATTCCATGGCAAAGCTGTCTGTACACACCTGGAATTGATTTCTGTTTGGCACAAAGCAAATGTTAAAGAGACTATACTTTTAAAAAAAACATAAAATGAATACAGGCAGCAGCATGACAAACAATATTAAAACACTTTTGCACTGAGGCAAAAGAAAAACGGTGAGAAAAAGTTCCATCTTGTTGCATGGAACTTCTCTCGGGACCACTCTGTTAAAACAAACATGAACCATTTAGTGTAAAGACAGTCTGGTAGGGGTCATCACCAGAGCATACGAAAGCGGTGTAGGCAATCTATAGAATGCCTTTTTAAAAGGTGGTAGAAGAAAGAGAATTGGAACCAAAAAGCCCATGATACCAGTTTTAAACGGAAAGAAAGGAGAGGATGAACACCCCACTAAGGTATAGAGCAGGCGGGGAGGAGAGAGCCTTGGCACTGGCTGCAAACACAATTATAGTAACTTATTTGTGAAGCCCTCCTGTCATTTATAGTGTGTGAGGGCAGGTTAAGAATGAAACGGTAATTACGAGCACACTGAAAACTTGAGAGTAGGGAGTGTGCAGTTATAAATAAAGGAGACCACACAGTCTTCACCAAGAACGTGAATTTGAGTAAAATGTTAGAGGAGGGAAATAGATGTCTTCTTGAACGTTTCAGGCCAGTAGAAAGGCACTTGAAATGTATGTTGTATAGTTCCATTCATATCACTTGCCATACACCTTCAGAGAGTAAAGGCACAAGCTTTATTTGTTAGGATAATAGTTCTCATACATTTCTTATGTTCCAAACACTGCCTTTCAAATACACATTCTCAGTTAAACCTCCCCACCCAACGTGTGCTACGATGTTTATCCTTTATCATAATGAAAACACTGATGATGGTTCACTATTGGTCCTGCAGCAAGGCTTACATTATCTCCACCATCCTATTTTGCCTCCCTGTGACATTTAAAAGGATCACTGCTAGTACATTTGTGTGGTAAATTACCTATTCCCACACTTGGCCTCTAGCCACACTGTTGCTTATGTTTCCTTCAAAAGAACACTGACCATGTCAAGGAAAGACTTCCTCAGACAATGCATGAAATACAAGCCAATTCTGCAACTCTACTGTAACGTCAGTAGTTCAAAAGGCCAGTGAAATCTATACCCATTAACTCACCTGTTACTTAAGAAGGATCGATTACATCTCAGATAACATTTTAGCCATTTAGGATACAAAATTCTCTGGCCTATTGGAGATGCCTACTGGACATGTGTTAGCACACATGTCAAGGATTCTACAACTCCTCAGTTATAACATCTTATAAATTTCAATATATGTCTCAAGTGCCCACGAAAGAAGAAATAAATAGGCTTTGCATACCAGAATTATGCTTTTTTATAGTTCTCCAGACTCTTGAATTTTAAACTGTTATAAACATCTTTGTTACTGTGGATTTCAGTGCCCCAAGGACTTTTCACCCTAGACTCATTATAGACTATATGTCTACAGTACATAGATAGTGTCCTGGTGAGTTTTACTGTCAACTTGATACAAGTCAGAGTCACTTGGGAAAAGGGAACCTGAGTTGAAGCATTGGTTTGTTCAGATTGGCCTGGGACCAGGTCTTGAAGGAATTGTTTTGGTAGATGATAGATATGAGATAGCCTAGCCCACTGTTGGCAGCACCGTTCCTAGGTTTCTGGGCCTGGTCTAAAGAAGAAAGTAACTGAAAAAAAAAAGCCAGAAAGCGAGTAAACCAGCAAGCAGCACTCCTCCCTGACCTTCGCTTCAGTTCCTACTTCCAGGTTCCTGCCTTGAGCGCCTTCCCCGACTTCCTCAGGAACCACCTGGTTCTTGGCAGCATAAACTGAAACAAACCCCATTCCACAAATCGCTGTTGACCACGGTGTTTATCACAGAAGCAGAATGAGATTAGGGCAAGTGTGTTCTGAGGATGAGATACAATTTGTCATGTGACAACTCTGGAGGGAAACACAGACCCTGGAATAGTGTTTTTTAAACACTGCCATGTAGCCGCCTGCAGCCACGGATCAACTGGGTTCACCTGAAAGGGGGGCTGGGAATGAAAGGAAGACAGAGGGCAAGAAGAGATGAAGCCAAGACAAGTATTCTGATCAAGGCTCAATGCTTTAACGTTAAACTCTCAGATTTAAAGGGTAAGGCCCTGCCCAAACCCTTCCTTGTTTCAGATGGGTTCGATAATCCATTCTTGGTCATGGTCACGGCGACAGATATCTCAAGGTAAGCCCAAGGGCAGTTCTTCTAAGTTCCATGCAGCCAAGGTGGGTAACTCCATCTAGATCCTCACTTGGTCTGTTGTGGTAAACAAGGTCTCTCATGCCTGCTCAAGGCCGGGGGAAGGGCTCACTGCCAGGTAATAGTGATGAAAGTATTTCTTTCTCTCTTTTACAAATATGTTTTTTATTTTATTTATATGAGTATACTGTAGCTGTCTTCAAACACACTAGAAGAGGGCATTGGATCCCATTACAGATGGTTGTGAGCACCATGTGGTTGCTGAGAATTGAACTCAGGACCTTTGGAGGAGCAGTCAGTGCTCTTAACCACTGAGCCATGTCTCCAGCCCATGAAAGTATTTCTAATGTCCCAGAGAATTTCCTATGCTACTTTCTAACCTTGCCATTCACAATACTTAATCTTCTGAGATTTGCTTCTTTCTTGAACCCACCCCTGTTTGACTGAGTGTGCCAGTTTAGTCTCTCTCACTGTGTATAAAGTTTCCTATCTCTCATTTAAAAAGTTTTGGATTATTTCTCAATTTGGCTTTTAAAAATAAGGCTATGCTTGCATGTTTTGAAAACCAACATTCTGTTATTCTTAGGTTTTTATTCTCATTGAGATTCTGAAAACTTTTTCTCAAGGCAATTCAGGAAGTGAAGTATTTTCCTATTGATTTGGCACATTAAAGTTTGTTAATGGTTTGTGTCTCTAGATGCAAACTGAAATTTCCAGAAATAAAGGACAAAAGCTGTCTATGCGCAGGATTCTACAAGATCAAATGGTTGATTAAACTTTGGGACAACACTGTGGCAGAGATCCAAGTTACCTTTGGTTCTTTTTAATTCCTTTAATAACCATTCATTGCCCAACTCTGTTTCCTTTTGATTATCAAGACTTTCAAATGTATTTAATGACCAGCTTCCATCAATCTAATAGCCAAGAAAGGCATCTGATAGCATTTGAAAACCATAGCAAAATTTTTCAGCTTGGCTACAACCTGTCTACTTACAGTATTAGGTAAATGCCTTGATTTTTGACTTTCTGTAGTTAATAAACTCTCCTTTAGTACCTCTCATAGTGGGACATCT